TTTATTTTTTCCTAGTAATTGTTAATATCTTTTATTATTTTTCTGATCTTATTGTATTGTCTAAGACTTTCTGTACCTTGTTGAACAGTAATGAGATATTGGGATTCCTATTGTTTTTTCCTATATTTTTCCAATCAGATAAAATCCTTCTAAATCAAACATTTCAAACTCAAAGGCTAACACGGGCCAAATAAACAAGGCATATGGCTCGTGGGCCAAAAGTTTGACATGCTTGTTCTAAATGTTTTCCATTTGATATGTTATTGCTAAAACTTAGTATTGTGCCATTAGATAAAGACAAAATTTTTTCCTAGTTTTGTCAGATGCAGAATATAGAGTTCTCTGAAATATATAAAATAAAATATTTTCAGCAATCCTTCCGATAAATTTGAACAGTCCATAGAAACCTATTATTTCAGGGAAGTCTCAAAATATCAAGATTAGGGGAAGCTAAGAGTGAAAGGAATAACAGTCAAGTTGCCTAATTTAAACTCATATTAAGAGATGTTGAATCAAGAAGAGAATTAGCTGAAGGAAGTGATTTCTGGTCAGTGGGAAGGAAATCTTGACTTTTCTAAACAATCTGCTATTTTTGGTTTAGGTGAACTAATGACCTTTATTTTTGTAAGTACCTGCACAACAAAATGATGATCTGATCATGTCTATGCTAAGTAATTGTTGAAATATTCCTTGAAAATATGAAGTTATTTCTCACAAGCTGGTAAACTCAGGGCTACAAACAAAACTGAAACACATGTTAATTGTAATTATTAATAAACTAGGGGCCCGGTGCACGAAATTCGTGCACTGGGTGTGCGGGGGGTGGGGGAGAGTGTCCCTCAGCCCAGCCTGCCCCCTCTCACATACTGGGAGCCCTCAGGTGTTGACCCCCATCACCCTCCGATCGCCTGATCAGCCCCTTGCCCAGGCCTGACGCCTCTGTCAGAGGAGTTGACCCTCATCACCCTCTGATCACCAATCACCAGATCGGCCCCTTGACCAGGCCTGAGGCCTCTGGCAGAGGTGTCAGGCCTGGGCAGGGGACCCCCAGCTCCCCGCGGTTGCAGGCTCCGCCCCTGCCCAGGCCTAACGCCTCTGGCCTAGGCGTCCAGCCCAGGCAGCGGGGACCTGCAGTGGCAGTGGGGGGCGCCGCGATCGTGGGCTTCGCTTTAGGCCCAGGCAAGGGACCCCTAGCTCCTGGGACTGCCAACTTCAACCGTGCCCAGCTCCCATCGCTGGCTCCACCCCTACTTCCTGCTATCACTGGCCAGGGCGGAAAAGGTACCTGATTCTCCGATCATGGCTGGGGGACAGGGCAAAGGCGGCCCCAGGGCCGCCTTTGCCCTGCCCCCCAGCTCTTAGCTCCCCCCTGGGTTTCCGATCAGTCAGTGGCAGGGGGCTTCTTCCTGCTTTCCCTTTCGCCTCCCTGCATTGTGCCTACATATGCAAATTAGCCGCCATCTTGTTGGCAGTTAACTGCCAATCTTAGTTGGCAGTTCATTTGCATATAGCCCTGATTAGCCAATGAAAACGGTATCGCCGTATGCCAATTACCATTTTTCTCTTTTATTAGTGTAGATAGACACATTTATAAAAGTCAGAGCAACAAAAGCTGTTATAATCTCAAGCAACTTTAGCTCAATTTTATATTTTAAAACCACAATTATCTTCAGATCTCTATTCACATAAATATAAGCTTAAAGCAAAAATTATCATTTTAAAATCATAAATCTTCATGAGACCTTGGATTCTCAATCTTTCTTTTAGTCATAAGCATTCTCTAATATGTAATCTCCCAAATTGATAATGATGTCCTCTCTCAATAATCTTATAGGGGTTAGCTATTTCCTATATAATAATAATAACAATAATAATAACTGTTTTATATATAATAAAAATATAAGAAGAAAGTGCTGAATTAACCACTATAGTACACAGGCTTACAAAATACAGATTAATCAAAACGACAGACATTGAATGCTAATAAAACTTTCACCTTAGTACTTACTGAGGCATGACTGTGCCTGTATAGTTATAGCATGTGTAATTTTTAAGTAACTCACTAGTGAAAGGGAAAGTCCTAGATCCTGATTGATACTTTTTTTTTTTAGAAAAAAGGTGAATTAAAAATAAGTTTTAGTTTGTCTAGTATGGAGAGGAGGGATGAAATACCCTTCCTTAGAGTATATTTTCACTTGAATCATAAAATATCTTTGATAAGTACTGGAGCTAAGATCCCTGCTGATTATTAATTAACCTATGTGTATTGACTGTGTTCTCAGGGCTTTGCCATACATGACCTCTTTTAATCCTCAAAGCACTCAAGTTTTCTAACTCCAGTTTCTATGCTTATACCTTCAAATAATTTGGTAAATCAAACATAAGTTACTAACAGCAGAATGTGGGCGCTAAAAAAATAATAATACTTTTCTTTCTACTTTCTAAGTTCTTTAGCTGGGCTAATAATCAAACTAATAGAGACAGATTAACAGGAGAAAATCAAATTTGTAATGTGTATGCACAGAATATTCATATAAGCATGAAAATTCCAAAGACAGTGAGGCAAAATTGGTTATACATGACATTTTGGACAAAGGAGAGAAGGGAGGGATGTAGTTTTAGATTTTAGAAGTGAAAATGCGCAATTTGCAGGTAATTGAGGGAGAGCCTGCAAGTAAATTTTTGCTAGGAAACCCCAAAACAATGAGATGTGTGTGGGGGTGAATGAGGGGGTGGGTAACTTAGTAAACATGCCCCTGCTAGATGTCCTCCCACCCACCATACTCAATTCAAATTAGACGAAGGTGAATATGCTAAGATTTCTTTCATGGTTTTTCTAACAAGTCTCTTGGGCAGAAAAGGGGGGAGGGTCAAACATTCTTTCTGAGACTTAAGTTTCTTAATAACCAGCTTAAAATCAATATCCCAAAAGGCACAGATTTGGGAGTGGCAAAACTTTGGTTCCCTTTAAGGACTACCAGTAAAAGAAATCTATTATCAATTGTATTATTTTGTTATTTGTAATCAAAGGAAAGCAAAGAAATAGCACTCTGGAAGCATTTTTTTCTCCTTGGACGAAAGTCCACTTCCTGTCTTTGGCATATATTTAATTTCAACAACTCTGTGGTCACAATGCAGTGATGGAAATAAAATAAGAGTTTTTCAACTCTAAGAGTCTACGACTTGGGGAATGAAGATTATTTGAAGCCAACTAGTTGTGTGTGTGTGTGTGTGTGTGTGTGTGTGTGTGCGTGTTTAACAGCTCATCCCAATGAATTGCATGCACAATGAATCAATTATACTGTTTAACTTAGTTATTTATTTCCAGGATTAAACTATGCAACATTTCTCCTTAGTCATTATCATTTTAGAAGATCACCTACCATGAATTCAACCACAAGCTGACACCTCAAACCTCCTGACTCTTATTATTTATTTTTAATAAAAGACTTACCCATCTTGGCTGTTTCTAACTAGACTGAGAGAAGATTGATAACTTGATTTTTTAAAGTAATTTAATCCAAAATCAACTGTTCAATGACATCTTTTCAGCAGGTATTACTGTTATTGTCATAACTAGCTAGGTTATTAATATTAGTAGTAGGAAGAGAGCCAAGGGGAGGCTAGACATTATAAGCATAGTCACCTAGGTAGCGTCACCTGGAGGCTACAACTTCACAGTCCCCAGGAGACCACACTGGTCCATCCTCTGCAGATCACTGGGGGGAAGGGATTGAAAGAAGAGGGAGGTGGGCACACTGGCAGTGAAGATGGGAATCAGAAGATGGAAATCAGAGAAATAACAAGAGAGTGGGCAGCTGGGAAAAATTCTGGACACCCTAGTTCAGTGGTCAGCAAACTGCGGCTTGGGAGCCACATGCGGCTCTTTGGCCCCTTGAGTGTGGCCACGAAGTTTCAATCGCACTGTACGTGCGCGCCCGCACGTGGTATTTTGTGGAAGAGCCACACTCGAGGGGCTGCAGTTTGCCGACCACTGCCCTAGTTGAATGAACATGGAGATAAAATGAGACTGCTGAGTCAAAATGAAATCATGTTGTTAATGAAATTAGGAAGAATAGGAGAAGCATGTTTGGATGGAATGATGAGACTGAGCATGCTGAACTTGACCTTCACAGGACCAATTAGGTAGCTGTTGCAAGTTTGAATCCAGAGATTCCCTAGCCAGGTAAGAGCTAGCATGATGGGAGTGAGCACTTGGTTCAGGCACATATTTAAGGGAGATGGCAAAAAAATAAAATTAAAAAATCAGTAATTAAGATCAATAATATTTTAATGCAATATGTTTTAAAATATCAAAATTAATGCCAAAATGATAAACCAAATATCAAAAGTTTAAGCAAAGGGAGATCAGTATTTCCTTTAAGGCCTCAACTTTGAACATGGTCCCGTGAAGCACTATTAAGAATACTGCCTTTATTTGAAAATTTGGTATTTTTATCATGATTTTTCACATTAAGTTAAAATTTTTAAAATACTATCTCAAAATAGTATTGATCTTGATTACTGAACTTTTTTGGTGCATTCTAGGCACTTGCCTCAGACCTTGTCTAAGTGAGAGGGAATTTCACTTACCTATACCAAAGTTTTCTTTTTATTTCTTCACTAAAAGGAACGGAATGATCACTAAAACTGAAATTGAACTAAGTTAATAACTCTATCTTAAATCCAGAGCTCCAGTTCTCATAATTTTTTCCCCTAGAGAAAACAACAACAACAACAAAATGATTTCCACTTTACAGATAAGGAAATCAAGTCATACAATGAATGACTCAGAACAAAGTTTAAACTTCTTGGTGTTGCATTAGACACACTAGATCAGAAGCCTCTCTAGGAACAAGCTGGAAGAAAATAAAATTATCACGTGTACTTATGTGAACACACCTTGTCCAAATAATGTGGACTGAAAGAGTAAGTTTTTGCAAACAGCATGCGCTTTTGCATTAGACACAGAGAGCTTCAATTCCTCTTTGGCCACTCACCAGCCGAATGACCTCTGACAAGTTCCAAAGCCTCAGTTTCCTCATCTGTAATAGGAGCCGGACACACCTGCCCTTCATTGTCTGGATGAGGAGGGAAAAGGAGAATGTAGCTAGTGATATTTATCAACCAGGATCGCAACCTATAACAGATAACACACACAAAACAGGAAAATTCCAGATTTTTTTAAAGTGGCAGGTGAAATAGAGATAAACATTATTGTACATCTTGTACTTTTGATTTTTTTTTTTTTACTGTGGTCACATAATATCTATTAAACTACTAAGGAAATAAGTGAATCATACATTGTTAGTGACTTTCAGAGACCTGCAATTTGGGAAATAATAACAGGAAATGTACATGCATAAAAATCATCTTTCTTACTCTTTACATGGTGAGCGATTTGCTTTTGAAATAACAGTGAACTCCTTTGCCATTTCAGCTTCAATTAAATGATTGCAAAATACATAGTAAACTTCCATCTATATTTTACAGTGCTTCGCCTGTGCTGGAGACACAAAAACTGTAGGGGAAAAATGAGAACATTTTTGAAGCCAGGTAACAGGTAACTGGCAAGGCAGGCCAAGCACAATGTCACAGCCACACACAGCTCGCCTGAAAGCACCCCACGAGCACGATGCCTCTTATTTTCAGCAACTGTCTTGACCAAAGGAGGCCAAGAGCTTAACCGCAGCTCTTGAACCCCCGGGGATTACAGAGCTCTGTCCCTGGGGTAAGACCCCCAGGCTTCCAGGTTTTCATCCTTCTCACACCTGGCGTGCTGGTTTTCAAGGCATATTCGAACTGGACAGGTCAAGACAGAGAGCAACTTCAGCCATCAAATATGGAGCGAGTGACCAAGGAAATGAGGGCGTCGGTTATTAAGATGATTGTTACCTGGGCAGCCAATTTTTTCAAGACGATGCGCCATCTAGTTAATCTCCTGCATCTGTTGCCTGACTCGGAGGAGGCATTTCTATAACCTGCCTCTGGATTTCAACGTTTCTGAGACTCCCATTTCCCTCCTCCCCCGGGAAAGGCTTTGGAATTGTGGAGAAGGCACTGCGCTCCTTCTGGGAAGAGATCCTCTCCTTTGGTGTAACTGCCTCCAGGACACTTAGCCCCTCCCGTTTGGGGCCCCGCCTCCCGCAGGGCGAACCCTATAAAATCCTGGGGAACTGGGTCCCTCCAGCCGCTCTCGGTTCAGTCCAACTTCAAGGTCAACAGGTCCTGCGCCAGGGGGCCTCTCCGGAGAGTAGCTCGCCAGCCATGGCCCAGGAGCTGTACCACCCGGAGTTCTCCCGGGCGGGCAAGAAGGCGGGGCTGCAGGTCTGGAGGATCGAGAAGCTGGAGCTGGTGCCGGTGCCCCGGAGCGCTTACGGCGACTTCTACGTCGGGGATGCGTACCTGGTGCTGCACACGAGCAAGGCGTGCCGCGGCTTCACCTACCGCCTGCACTTCTGGCTGGGTAAGGGTCGCGGGCGCCCGACCTGGACGCCCCAGGTTCGGGAGGGGCGAGGCCGCGGCGAGCAGAGACTCCCCTGCTGCGAGGAAGGAGGGTGCAAACGGGCACGACCTGGGGACCTGGCTTCAGTTGCGCCCCCGCGGGGCCTCGCCTTTGGGGCTGGCCACCTTCTCCCAGCTGCAAACCCTGGGCTCAGCGAAGTCGGGAACACTCTTATCCCACTGACTTTGACCTTTGCCGGGTCCATCTCCCGGGTTTGAGGCTGGTTCCGCCCTCTTTCACCTTCCAGCTCCAAACCCCACTGCCTGGCAGAGCCGCTGCTGGGCACACCCACCTGGGCGCTAGCCAAGTCGCGCTCACCTGCGGACAAGTTCAGTCCTGGTTTCCCTCTCGGGGAAGAGATGAAGTCAAACAACTCTGTGGCATCCCCCGCAGCTGGCGAGAGGTTTTATTTTGTTTGTTAATTAATTATCTCTTCCCCCCCCCCCCCCCCCCCCCCCCCCCGCGTATTTCTCTACTAATTGCGGTGATTCCTGTTTGGCTGCTTTAAGTCAGGATCCTCACCTCCACCACGCGGCTGGCAAGTGTGGCTAACATTCCTGTTTATGATGCTGGCCAAGTTGGATAGAAGAAGGAAATAAATAATGAAATAAGTAATGCAGATATTATCCTATAAATAAATAGCTTCATATGGCCTATTTATGTATTTACAGGAGCTTCTTTATTATAATTATTTTAAAATTTATTATTTGTCTACTTGAACAAGGACACTTTGGAACAAATCAGCTCCTTCAGCGGTAATTATTTTGGGCTGCACTCACGCCAGACTCTCAGGACACTGGGCCTTGTGTGTTCTACTTTCTCCACCTTCTACTTTTACTCGTAAACATCCTGAATGTCCTGCCTCTCCCCGTGAGCTCCTGCGCCAGTGGGCACACCCCATCTACTAGTAACAACGTGCCGATTATCTGAGCCTCACTGACTCCTTTTAAAACTAGCTTGCCTCCCGGGGACTTGTGTTTCTTGTTTTTAGTTTTATTCCTGAGCTTATGGGAAAACCCCACACACACATACACGTTCTGAAACTCTGACAGCCATTATTTTTACTTCTAACATTTGAAAATTTTAAGAAAGAAAATGGTAGAAAACATTGAGAAGTGATGTTCTCAATGTTAGTCAACACATGGAGCGGATGCACAAATGTCTATGGGAGAAAGGACTGTTTTCATTATAGCATTGGATATTAAAATGTGTTGCTGGCTTGAGGATGCTGAAGCTGGGTCCCAAATGCATTTTGATGTCCCATTGTAATGTTACTATTCCTCATAGACAGTGGTCTATTTTATGTTTTGTACAAAAACAAAAACAAAAAAACAGCACTGAAACCCTAACATATAACCATGTTCATGAGTGAATAATGCCGATAGAATTAATAATGTCCTCACCTTGGTCTTTCTATCCAGAACTTGTATTTGTAATGAATAAAAGTGTCTGAAATGCTACATTTGCCACATTGGTGAATTGAAATGTGAAAGAACTTCATTTCTTGCTATAAATAACAGTTAACTTTGTTAGAGGGTTTCAAGAGTTCTTTGAATACAGTTTTTTAAAAATTCTATAGGTTCCTTCTTACTCATATAAGGTCTTCAAGTACTATATCTTTTAAGGTTTACACAGAATCACTATTAATTATTAACTCTTAATTATTCACTTACTGCTCACCAAGTTTAAAAAATTTAATAGAAAATGCTTTGGGCAGAAACATTTTATGATCTTAAAGATCTGCTGAAACTGAAGTTAATAGTGTGTTAATTAATAAGTTAATTTCCTCAATAATTATTTATTGTGCCCAGCATTACATAATACATTTTTGCATATTAATTATTTTTGAAACTTCCCTGAAAATTTATACTCTCAGAGGTGCAATAAGACAAAACATGATATAAGACAGTGACGTGTGATAAGCACTGTGAGAGGACGCTGCCTGTGGTGAGGGGGAAGCAGAAAAGCCTTTGCAGAAAAAAGGAAAATGAGGGTATCTGGGAGGGATCTTGTATCCAGAGAAGATCATGGGGAATATGGAAAAGTTTAGAGTAAAAGGGCCGACAGGCCTTTAAATGGAATTGTTCCTCAGCTCTTCCTACTTCTGTTCTCTAAAGCAAGCTAGATTTCATCTGGTAATATTTCCCTCTAAGACCTAAATTCGGATGAATTCATGCGGATTAATAAAACAGATTGAGAGTAAGTTCTGAAAGGAAGAGCTGAAAGTTCAAGGAAAACGAAAGTTTGACTAAAGGAAATCAGTTGGAAGGAAGGTGAAAGAGAGTGAGGTTAAAATCACACTGGGGTGGAAAAAGGTGCACAGGGTAGAAATGAAGAAACAGGTCAAATAAGAGGGAAAAAAGGAAGAAAGGGAGAAGTGGGACATCAAATAGGAGAATGGAGTCATCTTGTCTGGTCTCTCCCTCAGTGTCTTTCTATAACACCCTTGCATGTCTCAGATTATATCATTTTATTATGTTTGTTTAAAAAGTGTAAGAATCTGTTGTGAATGACTGAAAGTGTTGCATTGGTCCTTCCTACGCATTTCAGCTTTGTACCTAGTGGTTTAAATGCACCCACCTTCTGCTTCTGATTACTTACAGCAGCATGTCCATGAACAGGGCTACATGATAAAGCTACTGTCTGTCACATCCAGATCTATGCTACTAACACTCACTCTCACCATTTCTCCTTACCAGTTTTAAACTTTACATAAATATAGTTGCACGCAATAAACATTTATGGTATACTTAGTCTGTGCTATGCTCTATGCAAAACACTGGGGATCTAAAGAAGTGGATTACAATATACAACTACAATACAAGTAACTTACTTATACAAGAGCCAGCAAGGATGTGAGAAGCTGGGTTTTTCTCTATTGCTTGGGGGAGGTGTTAAATGAGGAATATGATTATGGAAAGTAGTTTTGCAGTTTCTTACAAAACTAAACATGCAACTACCATATGACCCAGCAATTGCATTCATGGACATTTATTCCAGAGAAATTAAATTTATATTCATGTAGAAACCTATACATGAATGTCCATAACAGCTTCATTTAAATAGACAAAAAACTTGAATCAGCTCCAATATACTTCAGCAGGTGCCTGGTTAAAAAAAAAATTGTGGCACATCAATAATAAGAAACACTCCTCAGCAATAAAAAGGAACAAACTTTTGATACACACAGCAACTCTGATAAAGCTCAGGCAATTATGCTGAGTAAGAGAAAAAAAGCCAAAATGTTACATGCTGTATAATTTTATTTATATACCATTTTTGATATGAAAAAATTTTGATTTTGTTGTTACAAGAGGTTAGGGTTGGGGTGAGGTCAGGGTGATGCAGGAGGGAGGTGGGTATAGTTATAAAAGGACAACATAAGAGATTTTTTGATGAAGTAATTATTCGATACTTTGACTATGATGGTGGATATATATATCTGATAAAGTTATATAGAATTAAAGGTACAAACACAAGAGTACAAGTAAAATTGGGAAGATATGAAAAAAGGTAAATGCCTTGTATCACTGTCAAATCCTGGTTGTGGTATTCTGTGCTGTACTATACGTATATACTTACTAGAGGCCCGGTGCACAAAAATTTGTGCACTCGGGGGGGAGGGGTCCCTCAGCCTGGCCTGTGCCCTCTCGAAGTCTGGGACCCCTCAGGGGATGACCACCTGCTGGCTTAGGCCTGCTCCCCGGGGTATTGGGCCTAAGATGGCAATCAGACATCCCTCTGGCAGCCCGGCAGCCTTCGGGGGATGTCCACTGGCCAGCGGGGAGCAGGCTTAAACTGCAGTCGGACATCCTTAGTGCTGCTGAGGAGGCAGGAGAGGCTCGCACCACCACCGCTGTACTGGCAGCCATCAGCCTGGCTTGTAGCTGAGCAGAGCTCCTCCCATGTGAGAGCGCCCTGACCATCAGAGGGCAGCTCCTGCATTGAGAGTCTGCCCCCTGATGGTCAGTGTGTGTCATAGTGACCAGTCATTCCCAGTCTTTCTGCTGTTAGGGTCAGTTTGCATATTACCCTTTTACTATATAGGATAGAGGCCTGGTGCACGGGTGGGGGCTGGCTGGTTTGCCCTGAAGGGTGTCCCGGATCAGGGTGGGGGTCCCGCTTGGGTGCCTGGCCAGCCTGGGTGAGGGGCTGATGGCTGTTTGCAGCTGGTTGCACCCCCTTCAGGGTGGGGGTCCCCACTGGGGTGTTTGGCCAGTCTGGGTGAGGGGCTGAGGGCTGTTTTCAGGCTGGCGGGTGACTGAAGCTCCCAACTTCTCCTTTTTTTCTTTTTTCTTTTTTTATTCTGGGATTTATTTACCTTCTATGGCTGTCACTGGAACTGAGAGCCGGCTTTAGCTCTGAGGCTCGGCTCCAGCTCTGAAACCTCGGCTGCTGAAAGCAGGGATCTGGGTTTGTTTGGCTTCTATAATTGAAACACTGTTGCAGCTCCAGCTCTGAGGCCTGGCTGGCTGAAAGCAGGTTTCTGGGTTTTGTTTAACTTCTATAATTGCAACATTGTCTCTTAGAGTGCAGCTCAGAGGCAGGCAGCAGCAGGCGGGGAACCTTGGCTTCCTCCATCACTGGAGCAAGCAAGCCTCCTGTTCGCTTCAGCTGCCTGGCTGCCATCTTCGTTGGCCGTTAATTTGCATATCACCCTGATTAGCCAATGGGAAGCGTGTTGGAGGTATGGTTAATTACCATGTTTGTCTATTATTAGATAAGATACTTTAGTATATACTAAACTATAGGGGTTTTTTTGTTTTGTTTTGAAAGGTTAGCTTTTTAAAAAAATATATTTTATTAATTTTTTACAGAGAGGAAGGGAGAGGGATAGAGAGTTAGAAACATCGATGAGAGAGAAACATCGATCAGCTGCCTCCTGCACAACCCCTAATGGGGATGTGCCTGCAACCAAGGTACATGCCCTTGACCGGAATTGAACCTGGGACCCTTCAGTCCACAGGAAGACGCTCCATCCACTGAGCCAAACCAGTTAAGGCTATACTACAGTTTTACAAAATGTTAGCATTGGGGGAAATGTGGCCTGCTGATCTGTATGTCTGTTTTCCCACCAATATCACACTGTCTTAATTACTGTAGCTGCATAGTGGACACTATTATCAGATAGAGTTATTTTTCCTAGCTTAGTTTTCTTTGTTAAGATACTTTTAGCTATTCTAGGGCCTATGCCTTTTCATATAAATTTTATAATCAACTCGTATAATCTATCATAAACCTTGCTGGGATTTT